ACTATAGCATGGCAAGTAGTTTTGAGATAATACATTTCTTAAATATTAGTTGTTCATGAGTAAGGTCTATTCTAGACATTATATAGCTGCTCTCATCTATTTTTTACCCTTCATATTATCTACATGGGTTGAATTCAGAGAAGAATCAATTTATTGTTTTTTATCTTATTTTTGTATTGAATTTATTGGGATGGAAAGGGTGAACTAGACCTCCGGGGCCTCTTCTCTAAGGGCACTAATTCCATTCATGAGGGACCCATCCTCAGGACCTAATCACCCCAAAGGCCTCATATCTTAATACCATCACCTTGGACAGTAGGTCGACGTATGAGTTGTGGGGGAGGGAGAGGTGCAGAGTCGGTCATTCTAAAGTTTAACAAAGAAATTTTAAGAACAGATAGACCCCTCATCTTCCAGGCGCGGGCACTGAGATCACACCTTTCCCAGAGTCACTCATGGATGTGTCGTCTTGGCGGCAAAGGAGGGATGAGACACGAGGGACCGACTGCACCCTGCTTTCCCTCTCAGTGGAGCATCAATACATGGTCCCAATAACATTTCTTTTAAAGAGAATAGTTGCAAAATACAGGAAATAGTAATTTTACAATAAAGGAAAGCAGTACAAGTTTAACCTTTTCAAGTTGCCAAGGGGCGGGGGGGGGGGAGAATAATTACTTTCTGCAAAGTACAAATTTAATAGGATCCAGGAGGATGGGAGAAAATGGGAGTAGAGAAGTCATTTGCTCTTTCAAAATATGGGTGGACTGCACTGAGCTCTCGCTTCCTGCCACATCAGGGTTCGCTGGGGAGCCCTGTAGGCCTCACTCCATGCCCTCCATCCATACTTGCTGTTCCGATTTGAGTCGATCCTGCGATAGAGAGGATCTCCCTGGCACACAGTGGGTTCAGGAGAAGAGAGACCATTTAAGGCACATTTTAAAGGAGACTGGTACCCACCTCGGTTCATTTCTCTTGCTGCTCTTGCTTTTTATCAATTTCATTACAAAATGGTAGGAACTTTAACCAGGTTTGTGTACAAATTCACCTCTAGCCATTGTAAGTCTGATGATTGTCTTTTGCAAATTCTCTAACACGAAGGCACTGAGACGCAGTGTATTACATTAAGAAGCCCTTAGCAGTATAATGACTGCCGTGCTCTTAGCTCCCGTCATGTTTATAGGGCTTCAAAGCAACTGTCTCTTGTAAGGCGAGCCCTACGTGGCTGGGCTCTTTTGTTCAGAAAGAGCAGGTTGTGCCTGAAGATTATTGCCGAGTCATGGTTACAGTTCAGGTCTGTAGTGGGAGCGAGGACCGCGGTGGGGAGTTCTTCCATCTATTTCCAGGCGAGAAGATAATGAATGCGCCTCCGTCTGAGCATGCTGGGGCATTCTGCAAGACAGTTTTCACACAAGTCTGGCCGCCTAAAGCTCACAGGCCCTGCCACGTGTGACGGTGGCCACTGGTACTCAAGTGTCGGCCTCGGGTGTAAATTTTCTCCTGGAAACCTGCGTGGCCCCGTTTGTATCCTCCTTTCTTCTGAGCTGAGCCTTGCAGAGCAGAGACACGCGTGGCTGTGATGAACGGCAGCTACTATTTTATCATCACATTCAAATAATGTTCTGCCAAAACTCTTACAAAGGAGCAAGGCTCACTTTCTTCCTATCAAGGTCATTACTGGCCTCATTTCCTTCCCTTGAAAAGCACAGAGATGCCATCTAGCAGCTGCCCTCGGCAATTTCCTGCACAGAAATCGTCCTTTCTCCCTAAAAGCAACAACTGAATTCCGGCAAGCTTTCACTTTCTGAAAGAACTTACCGAGAGCAGGGTGGTTTGGCACATAGCCTATACTTCAGACTCTCCATCACAAATGGAATTAATTAATATCTCCTCAATAGGCAGAGTGATAGACCCATGAGTTCTAAATGGAACTGGAAACTCGTTAATAAGATTTTAATTAAGAAAACATAATTCTCATCATTTTCCTGAGAGGAAAATTGATCGTCTGTCTGCATAAAAATACAAATAATTAGCGTTGAATTGCCTTCCTTTGTCGAAAGAGAATAGTGATCTTGCCAATTTTCTGATGTATTAAATGAGAGTAATCAGTACACGCTGAAAGTGAGTTCATCCTATCAATCTAGAGGTTTGGGCATTTTGTTTTTTAACAGTTTAAAGATAAAATTGAGTTCCAAGTGACTTACCTTACCATAAGATGGCGATACTTAAGCACTTTATAAGATGTCATATAAGATCTATAAGTTTCACTCTCAGGTAAAATGATGATAAACATTAATGTTACATAGTGTTTATGAAATGGAACTGGTAATGTTGTTAGAAAGCCTTTTTGTTTCCGGGTAAATTAATATACAATGTGCACCCTCTAAGATTTAGATTTCCAACATTTAGCATATGTGGTATAATGCTACACATAAAAAAATCTCCATTTTAAGAGCTCTTCTGGTTTGTCAGTGTATCCATGTGTGAACATACATATGCTTACTGTAAACACAAAGGTAATCACATACTTGAATAAATTTATTACTTGAATAAATATATTTTAAAATGTTATGAAATATGTCAGTCCTAACATTAGTATTAACAAACCAGCTGTTTAAAATTATGTGCATCCAAGTGTCATCACATCATTATTACTTATTTGTCCCAAAACTGTGATCTTGAGTGGTATTATTGGATTTTTACTTTCAGTTTTACTAAGCATAATTTGCATTATCAATATTAATTTTGTTAAGTAAACCCTTAAGTAGTTAGTATAATAATCAATAACATTTGAGAAAATTCCTAGGTTTACAACCTGATTGACGATTACTTTGAGAATTGAACGGTGCCATTCGTGATGGGAGATGGGATGGGGTGATAGTTTGGTGATCAACAATAGTCGGATAAAACATACAAAAGTAGCTTTTTTCCGCTTTTTAAGCAGTGTTTTTCTCCCCCTGTCCAGAACCGTTTATGGACACGTGGATATTCTCTCTAATGTCCTAGGAGGCATAGAACAAGTGGCCGTCTTCTCCTCTTTGCACACTGAGGGGCAGTATCTAGAAGCTGAAAAGGACAGTTTGAAAAGTTAATGTGTGTGCCTTTCCTCCCTGAATGTCTCACTCATTTGTACCAAACCGCCACAGTTAAATCTACGAAAAGTTTCATATTAAAAAAATTTTTTTAAAAAGTTTCATATTGTCGAACGCCCAGCAATAAGCTTATTAATACTAGAAAAGCTCATATTGACTAAAAGTGGATCATTTATTTGGAGGAATCATCTCAATATTTAACAGAAGCTTTTCTTTGTTTATATATTAATGTGAGAAAGCACAGAGGACCAAGAAGCGAAGATACTTATGCATTAAAGATACCAGAGAAAGCTCACATGAGTTCATTTTTAAAGAATGCCAGAACTCGCTTTAAGTCAAGTGATTTTTTTTCCCTCCTGCAGTAATTCGGTGACTAGGTTCAGTTTGAAAAAGCATTTTACTAAGAATATTTCGAGTGAGGTACATAATGGAATGCATTTAAAAGTTTTAACCCACATAATAGTCACAGTGGTGTCACTGTAGGTCCAGAGGCAAAAAGAAAAATAAGATTTAGAAAATGTAAAAGTAAAGCCCACACTTTTTAGTTAGATGTAGCGTGCCTTAACGCTGTCCATGAAGATCACTAAGGTGGAATACACACACACTGAAGACGTCAGGGACAGTATGACCACAACCAGAGCTTTAAGATAAAATGATTTGATCCTCATCAGGTCTCTCTAAACACGAACAGAGCACACAGATAATGACGAGTCTGTAAGACGTGACTCTAACTTTTCACTAAGCGCTACATTGGGCCTAGAAATATGGTCCGCCACAGGATTAGATCATGCTTGGTTACACCTTAATTAGTTCTTATTCAATTATGAAAAGAAAATTAACCTCTCTCCACCACGGAGATGATGGGAAGCTTTAAATAAATAGCTTCCCAATACCCCCCAATACAGCTTTAAATGGCCGTAACATGGCATCATCTGTCCGGTTGTGTCAGATTGCTCTTGGCCAGTTAAACAAGTGACATCATTTTAAAAATTGTAACTCTTGCTCTTTTTTTTTTTTAATCAGACGCCTTATTTCTTATGTAGTATAATTAAGATGATCGTACAATGCTGACGCTCTCAAATTCTCTCACTTTATCATCAAGACTTTCCTCATTCGCCGCTGCAAGCATTTCGCCGGATTTTCCTGCCTTTTCATAACAAGGGCTCAGCGTTCACTCCGGTGGCCGGAGCTGGCTGATTTTCAGAGTTCGACAGCCAGGCGACCCCGCAGCCTTCCCAGGACTCTCCCGCCTGCCTCTGATCACCCGTGATCAGAACTTGCTGGGCCCCCTCATCCCTCCATGAACAGAAAGCAGCAGAGGAACCCCAGCCCTGTTCACCCACGCCTGCCTCCCAGCCCGCCCGGCCGCGGGGCCAGAGTCCGGCTCTGCCGCTGTGCCCTGCGTGTTGCAGGCAGCAGCGCCAGGGTTTTTGGCCACAAACCGCAGCACGTCTGCCAGGGGAGCGTTCCTCGCCGGGATCCGCTGGGGAAAACACACAGCCCTCCTCCGCTTTCAACAAAGAAACGGCTCCGCTCACCGGCTCCTCATCCGTGTTTACAAATTGCATGGTTTCCGCCGCTGACTCCCCGGCATTACCCCCGCGACTCCCCAACAGCACCTTAGCGCTCGGACCCAGAATGAGCCCGTTCCCCGAGAGCCGCATTGCCCGCTGCCCAGCCTCATTCCCTTCGCGCCTGGTCCCTCCCCTCTTCCGGGACTCTACCTTGAGGCGCTATTCCTCCTCGGCAGGCAGTTCACCTTGTTATCTATCACCCAAGCCATAAAGGTAGCCAGACAGCCGTCTTGCATGCCTTTTTTGGGGGGGGAGGGGGTAATGTATTTGCATTTTTGGTCGGTTGGTTTCCTATTGCACCTTGATTTCAAGCCAAGAGTTAACATATCGCGCATACCTGGGAAGGACCGAATCCAGCCAGCAGCGACAGCAGCAGCAGATTGAGCAGGTGCGCCGTCGCCTGCATCCTGCCCTGGGTTGGGTGCCGCCTCTTCACTCTCTCTTCTGTCGCCGCTCCAGTGTCACTGCGGAGACCGAGACCTTCCCCTCCAGTTGCACTTCCCGCCCGCGGGTCAGAGCCGCGCGGAGACCGAGGCAGCGGCAGCCCCAGCAGCCGCCCTGGGGGGCGATCATTCCGCAGGCATCTCGGAGCGGGGCGTCCACGCTGCTCCCGGCTCCCGGCGCGCAGCCCGCAGCTCCTGGCGGGGCGTCTGCAGCGGGTGCTGACCGCGGTGCTGAAGCGCCTCCCAGCTGCGCGCCGCCCCTCTGCCCTCCTCTCCTCGCCCGTCCACCTCAAAAGTTTGGACCCAAGAAAGAGACCGAGGGAGTAGGCGCCCAGAGAGGTGTGGAGACCTGGACGACGGATATGACATCACTACAGCTCCTGGGGGCTCGGGGCGGGGCAGGCGGGGGGGGGGGGGCGGGGGGGGTGGTATATTTTGCTGGGAATTTGTTAACCAAACGAGGATAGACTCTCAGCTCCGGTGCAGCCTGTGCTGGTTCCTGGGGCCGCAGGGAAGTAAGCATCAGTGGGACACAGGCTTATGAAACCAGCAGCGCCTGGAACCTTCTGCCGTCATTGACAGAGGACTTGATACCCTATTGATCGCTTTCAACGAAGTTTGCAGTGTAGACTCTCCATGTGTGCTTTCTGTCCGAGGCACCCAGTCCAGAGCTGTTCCGTTGGCATAGATGCACTGTCATGTATGCACAGCCCACCGGAATAACCTATTCGGTTAGTATAAATGTGCACTTATCCACCTAGGGCGTGGGAGCATCTGAAAATGCGGTATGCGTACGTGAATGAAGAGGCTTGCCTTTTTTCCTTATAAATGGGATATTGCATTAGCGACCCCCCACAGCTGCGATCTCTCCCCTCCTGCACCGCGATACCCAGAAATATAATTTCCCTGTCAATTTGACTCCTGTTTACGCCCGAGGGGGAATGCAGTGATGGATGGACAGTGGAATGGGAAAAATGATTATCCTAAGCTCCCAAACGCTTCTGTTTTCTAGAGTTCAGGAAAGGAGGCAGAATAGTTGCCTCCTAAGAGCAGAGAAAGAGTGAACGGCTAACCCTAGGCCCTGCACCACTTAACTATTCTCAAGCAACTTTATTTCTTCGAAGCTGAAAAATGCAAGTGTTCTGCATGATGACAAGGTGGGCAGGAGTTGGCAGCCGCCCTGAGGCCTCCCTCTCATATAGTGATGGCCTTTAGTACTTTCTGAGTTATGTCTTCTGTTGATTTTTCTGGAAATGATATTTTCCAAGGATTTAAATGTGTGAATTGGAGCTATAAACATTGCTTCCATATTAAAAAGATGATACATTGCTTGAGATATCAGACACATCCTGTGTATAAAATCTCTACCCATCTCTCACTGAAAACTTCATAGTTGTAATGCAAGAAATCTCAATTAGGATTCAAGACTTCTGAAAGTTACAATTGCCAAGGATTTGCATCAGATTGCATCTATTTTAGCCTGGTATTATATGTGTGAATTAATAAGCGGACAAATTCTATGAAACTTGGCCAGAGAAATGTGATGGATGATCATACTTAAATACTGAAGTAAGCAATGTATGGTAATTATGCTACAAATGAAAACAGATGATCTCCGAATACTTACAACCTACTTGCCCTAAGAAAAGCTTAGTCATTTGTAGAGAATAATCAAGTTTAGTAATAAACCAAAGAAACTCATATATACAGGCCACTGAAAAACAAAAGTGTAACAGCACAAATTCACCAATACCCTAATACTTCCTCTGTCGCACTTAGAAAATAAAATAAGATTGCAGTTTTTCTGAAACATAATTCTGACAGTGTGTGCACGTAGCCATTTGTTTTACAGTAAAGCTGTCTTATATTTGCATGCAATCAACTTGATGAGATTATGGACCACAGCATACCTTATCTGTACATAGCCATTTACACACCTCTCCCCTGGGAAGAAAGTCCATCAAGCTCTTTGCAACTTGTGGCCTGTATTAGCCATTCCAAAGAGTTCTATCATAGAAAGGAAATGGTGTGCCTACTTTTGTGTTCACAGTCACTTCAGCTAGGTTACTGTAACTTAGATTGGTGATTGCAACTTAGAACAAAATGGAAAAAAAAAAAGTGATGCATAGCATAGATTTAGAAATACCGCAGTCCTTGGGTTACGTTGGACTCAACGTATGTCATTTCATGGTTACGTTGCCATCTCCCATTTATTTATTTAAAAAAGTCCCATCATTTCGACGTATGTACATATGTGCTTTTTGTTTTTTATTTATTTACCACAAGTAAAGGTCAGGAATCGTTACCTTGCTTTTAAGTTTTTTTTACTGTTTCACTTCATTACTGCTGTGTCTGTGCTCCCTGTGAGTGATGTAGTTGCTTATGTAGGTGGGTTCCGACTTAGGCGACAGTTGCGTTACGTCGCGCCATAGGAACGGATCTCTGACGTAACCCGCGGACCTACTGTATTGCGTTTTCCAATACATATGTGAGAAAGTATTTGAAATTTATGTATCTAATTAAAGTTAGCCTTCTAGCCTATAATGGGTACAAAATTGCTTTGAAATTTATAAAGTCCTGCACAAATTTTAGCCAGCGCTATCTACAGAGGCATGCAGAAAAATAAGCTGATATGAAATGGTGTACATATACAAAAACACCTACAACAAAGGGTGTAACTTTTTAAAACATTTATGCCCGGTATTACAAAAGTAAGTACTTAAATGTATAATGAATTCTATTTTAGCTGACTGTGTTGAGTGTGTGTTCATCTTCTTTTGATAAAAGAGGGTATGGCATTCTTCTTTACATATTTCATACTGCACCAGTATCCCAGGGATGTTCAATTTCGTTAAAAAAAAAATACTGTTGCTTATTTTGATTTCCATCGATCATTTAACACTGATGGACTTAGTTATTTTAGAAAAAAAAAAGATTATCCAGTGCTGGGCTCCAACCCCAGCAGGTCCAGGGTTCCCCAAGGTGTGGACAGAGTCGGCAAAGAGGGAAAGACTCGGAGGCAGCGTTCAGTTGATCAGCATGGTTGGGTTCTCTTGCCTGGTTCTAATGCCAGGTTCTGTAGGTTCTCCAGCCAGGTTCTAGTCAGGTTCTCTTGCCATGTTCTAGCCAGGTTCTGTCTCTAGGTTCTTCAGCCAGGTTCTCTCGCTAGGTTCTGTCTCTAGGTTCTGTCTCCAGTTTCTGTCCAGGATCTTTTGCCATGTTCTCTCCAGTGAAGTTCTTCTGCCTCTAGGTTTTGTGTAGGTTCTGTGTCTAGGTTCTGTGTCTAGGTTCTGTGTCTAGGTTCTGTGTCTAGGTTCTGTGTCTGTTGTCTTGTTATATCTGTATTTATACCAGTTGATTCCAATCCTATCAATCTCTATTCCAAAGGTTAGGGCGTTTCTTATCTCCATTCCGGGGAGTAAAGATTATGTAGCTTATGTAGCATGATTGTTCGTAGTTAAAGTGATTAATTACCCACCTGGCACTTAATTAAGGGGTTTTATTCCCTCCCTAACTTCAGGGGAAAATCCCTACCTGGGGAAACAACCTTTCTCAAAGAGGTGACTTTGGTTAAAACACATAGTGCCAAGAAGGTGAGCAAACATATTAAGAACAGTATGCCAGGTATGCCAGGTCCCTTGAAACAGCAAGGATGGACCGGCTCCCGGCAATCCAACAGGTTATATAAACCCTTGAATACATGTTCATCTTTTGTTATATAAGTGAGGATAGTTTTTGATTTATTTTCTCATGTCCTTGACCTGCCACACTCTCTTTTATTTGTTCTTCTTCAGTTTTCACTGGAGGCGACTTTTCTCTCTTGCTGGCTTTTAAGCCACGCTCATTGAGCTCCCCTACCTCTCAGAACTACCCTGTCTAAAATACACCCCCAATCATCCTCGGTCTATTTATTGTTTTAAGAAGGTTGGTTATTTTCTGTCTGTCTCCTGTAGTAGAATATATTTCTAGGAGGAAGGCCCTTTGTCCATTTGCTGTTCTGCTGTAATCTAATCACCCAGAGTAGTGCCTGGCACCTGGCAGTGACTTAATCAATAATGATTTAATGAATGCATGAATGAGTGAATTTCCAACCCTAATTCCTTCTTGCAGGATATTTATATGCCCAAGGTTTGCTAGATGTCACTCAATTTCTTGCAGGCACCTCAGACTCAATATTTCAAATCAATATTTTTTTTCCTCAATCCCATTAGTTTGTAGCACAATTTGTCTCTCTATTGCAAAGCAAGTAGCGTGAAAGTCACACTTGATCCCCCCCATCTTCGTCCCTGTTTGAAATCTATCAATAGTCCTGTTGACTTTTTCTCTATAATATCTCCAAATTCATCCATTTCTCCAGGCAGACCCAGATCAGACCCCCCTTTACATTATCTGAATTATTACAGTGGTTTTCGCCCCCTGGCCGGACAACCAGTTTTGCATCTGCTTTCAACCTTCAATTGAAAAACTAATTTGGTCATGTTGCTCCTTAGCTTGAAAGCCTTCAGTGGCTTCCTGTCTTTTAGGTGGCCCAGTGTGGAATCCTCAATCTGGCTTATCCAGGGCCCTGAATGAGTTGGCCCTTTGCCTCGATCTTCCATCGCATTTCTGACCATTGTCTCCCAATAATTAGAATCCAGTAAAATTTTAATGCTTATATTTCCCTTAATGCTGTTCACCTTGGTCATGACTTGCTTTTCTTTTGCCTGAACTATTTATTCTGCCTTTCAGTTTCCTTGTAAATGCCATCTTATCTAGAAAGTCTTCCCTGGCCCCCCAGTACCCGCTCTCAATGTTTCCCTTCTCAGTTTTCCCCCATAACATCTTGTGCACACTTTTGTCATTTACATATGTGCTACATTGGATTATTAGAATCTACCTGTGTGTGTTTGTTCTCCACCTGATTGTAAAACTCTTGAAGATGTTTAGGTTATCAGTTGCTGCGTAACTAACCCTTCCAACGGGTGGTGGTTTAAAACAAAAATATATCATGAACTCTCGTGGGTCTGTGATAATTCTCACTGACAGTTCCTGATGCAGGAGACTGGAGTCATCTCACCCTAGACCTGGCTCGATGTCCAAGTGGCTTACCCACGTGGCTGCAGTTGCTCTTGGCTGTCACTAGTTGCTCAGGTGACATGGTTGACCGCCATGTCATCTCTCTGTGTGGCTCATGTTTTTTTTCAGAAGAGCAGCAAGGTTCTGAGCAAACAGCCCGCAAGCTGGCATTCTAAAGGCCTAAGCAGAAACCACAAGCATTCTCCTCTAGCAAGTCGAGAGAAAAGTACAGTAGCTCCAACAGCTCATTCTCCAACCCATCGTGTCTAGTTGGATTTGGTATTT